AGTTGCACACTGAACATGTGGGCACTGGCCTCTGGTGTGAGATGTGTGTTGACATTTACAAATGCATCAGAAGTCAGAATTTCTTGACTCTCATTACGTGAGGAGGGATAGTTATTCTTTATTTTCAACCTTGAGTTAATCTGCAGCAAATTTATCGCTTTTCAGCTGTTGGAAGGAAGGATTTCCTGTTTTGTTCTGTTCCTTTGCTCGGTATCTTTGACTGATACTGTTGCGTCTGTTCTTTTGTGTTCTGAAAGTGAAAGACACCAGAAGAAACCCCAGGTACTGGTTTGTTTGTTTTTTTGAGCTAATATGCAGACCTTCAGCCACAAATAGGTACAGTGCTCTTCAAAACTGCAGGTTGTCTACTTTCCCAAGGAAGCAATAGAGCAGTATTAAGGCAACTCTTGACAGTTTTGCTGCTGCCTGTAGGGTTTTGAATAACAGGAATGTAATTAATCAGCATTTTTGGTCCTCAAATCCAAGGCGTAATAGTATTTTCACTAGTAAGAAAGGTAAGGTTCTGTTAATAATGGATAAAATCTTGGTGTAGATATTTGGTTTATAGTTTTAGCATGTGTTAGCTTGTCTAAACAGTGAGGTGTAAAATCATGACTACTTGTAAAAGCCATATATCTAATCAGGGTGAAATGTGTAATCACCAGATGCAGAAAATAAGACTAGAGCTTTCCAGCTCATCTTCTGACTCGTACTGTTCTTTTTTCTTCTCGGTTTAAATATAACTGTCTAATTGCATCTGCACAGTTTTCTCCAGAAATCCTACCTGCAATTCTTCTAAAGTCTATAGGTACTAGCTCCGGTATACGATGGTATATCCAAGAACAATAGTTGCCTCAACTGCAAATAGGCATTTGAAATTCCTAAAACAGGAATGTCCTGCTCTGCTTTGCAACGCTGCCTAGAGGATGAGCTGTGGCCGGCTCATCCAAAGTGTTCAGAACCTCATATTAAAAACAGTGAAAGCTGGAAAAGCATTCAGCAGCTAACAGGGGTTGGTGAAGGTGTGTAAAGTGCTTTGAAGAGCCATGGTAGAATCATAGACTCATGGAATGGTTTGGGTTGGGAGGGACCTTAAAGATCATCTAGTTCCAACCCCCTGCCATGGGCAGGGTCACCTTCCATAGCCCAGGCTGCTTAAAGCCTCATCCAGCCTGGCCTTGCCTATTGATACCTGAAAAATTTGCCAACTCCTGTTAAACTCCTCTCAAGATCCATGTGTTAGTTATGCTCTGTGTTTATATGTGCAGTTGTGAGGACAGATTTAGTTGTTTTAGACAGCTGAGTAATGTCTGCTTTGATACGTTTATATGAGGTAAGATTGAAACAGACCCATTTTCAAAGGGTTTACCAGAGAAAATATTAGATTGGTTGAAGTAGATTTTTCATATATCAGTGACCAACCTAGAGCCTTCCCTGGATTTGTTCTATTTCTGTCCTTTAAATTCTACTAAATCTTGAGGCATGTAGTTTTTATAAAGCGTTTGTATTATCCTGGGTTAGGTTTGGGTAGAACTGTGTGTGGGTGATCCTTGTTAGAAGGGTGTCTCTTCTGCCCTCATCATATCCCAGAATGCTGTGGAGGCTAGGGGTTTGAGTGTGTATTTCTGCTGGTTTTATCTGTTGTCTCTCTACAGAGACTTAATTCTTGTTGCTCTGTTGCGTGTGTTGCAGTGCTACAAAGTGGGAAGCGTAATGAAGTGTAATGGGCTTTTTCTGTATTGGTAGACAGTAGCAAGGAAATAGGTAATGATGAATCTCAGCAATTCAGTCCATGGGACTTCAGGCACTCTGGCATTTGACTCGGACTTCGTACCCTGGAAGTGCCTCTGGCCTTTTCGTAGGGTGATTCTTATACCTGTTACTGCAGAGCACTTACCTATGGCTCTGAACATAAAGGCATTAAACTCTTGTTCAATTTTTTCATCTCACCTGGGTATTCATTATAGATGTTCAGGAGTCTTTCAAAGTCACTGTTCATTTTTGGTTTGCAAATAAATTATTTCCAGGCAGGTAGTCACCATTTATGCACGTGAGCTTTGCTGCAGCGTGTTACCCTCTTGTGGAAAAGATACCTCCTAAAACTACAGTAGAAATAGAACAAAACAGCAAGTTGAAACATGAAGTAAAACATGTGAACCAGCACCCTTTCATACGTTTTTTTCTTATGTTTTACGGAAGGGGAAGCTTTTCCAATACTAGGGCTTCAAACTTTGGTTATAGCTTCTCCACCTGCCTGTCAGGAGGGAGTAAAAGCCAGAAAGTCAAAACTGAATGGGGAAGGTAGAACGGCAGGAGCAAAGGCGGCAATAGGAGCAATCCAGAAGTGTCACACCGTACACTGAAACTGCCTATTACAAAAGATTTTTGAGTCATTATGTGGAGAGGAAGTGCTAATCATGGCAGTGATAAAACTAAAAATGGGGATAAAGGGTGTGGCTAGAAAAGAGACTTTGGCTGCAGAAAATCTATGTTTTGCTGCTGTCAACCTGTCAGCCAGTGGCTTATTCCCTCTTACACTGTCTACCTTCCCCCCAAGATCCCTCCATTGGTGTTTAACGTAGCAGATGATGAGTCTTTGGCTCAGTCCTGAAACAACCTGGGTTTAAAAAAACTGAGAAACTTCTTGTTACTAGATTAGATCATTGACTAGACAATGAAGACCCTTAAGCTCTGGAGATACAGGAAAATATGGAAGACAAGCAGCTGGCAACAATAATTTTGTGCTGTATTGGCATTCTGGTGGTTTTGTTTATCCATATGCATTGGAGTCCAGGATCTTGTTGTGGTGGTGGAAAAGGAGCTGTTAATGTCTCAAATCAAACCCAAGGAGTATTCTCCGGGCAGGTCTGTAGTGCAGCAAGTGTTTGAGATGTTGGATCTTGGATGTTGGCTGTTCTGTGGTGGGTAAAGGTATCCAGTATAGTTGAAGGCATCATACCAAACCTTAGGTCTTTGGACAGTTGCCTTTTCACTTCAGCAGGTTGAAGGTCCTGCCCCCCGAGCTGCTGCTAGCCACGCTGGTTCTGACGGCTGGGGGCCTTACAGGGGCCTTACCTGCACCCTGGCAAGCATGTTTGGGCCACTGGACTGCGTAAACAGTTCAAGTTCTGCTGGCTCATTTCTACTGAAGTCGTTAAAGATTTAATGGCTTAAGGTTGCTGCCTTCTGCCCGACGAGCACTGCTGATGGGAAGAGGCTGGAGAAGGTAGCCTCAGCTGCACAGACAGCCACATCTTTACCTGCTACAACTGCTTGTCATAAAAATCGCTGTAGCCTCAACTATTTCAGGGTTTTGAATTGAATTGTTACCCTTTCTTTGGCTGAAGTGCAGCAAAATGTTTCCTTTTTTTTTTTTTTTTCCCCAAATAAAAACAAGGCAGAAATGGAAGTTGAGATGAATTTTAAACCCCTACTTTGCCCATACTGTCTTCTGCTGTAAGAGCTATAGAGCATACTGTGTTTTGAGGCATATTAATTCAAGGAATGTGAATAACTGGCCAGCTGTCTCTCAAATAATTTGTGAAAGTTTGAAGTTTGAGTCAAATTTGAATGCATTCTTTTAGAAATTCATGCCTTTGGAAATATGCCTCATCTTAGAATGATTCCTCCTTCCAGTTTATATCATCTTGTATTAGCTTGGTATACTTTTCCTTTATTTAGGAATTTGATTAGGCAGAGTTCTTAACTCCACAATCCTACAATTTGACAGCACAAAGCTGTGGTGGCTATTAATTGCTACTAGCAGACATTATAACCCTTATAGACTTGGAGATCTTAATTGGAGTTGTGATTAACTGTATCATAACCCTTTCTAATCTTGTGGAATCTTAAACATTCACTTTTGAGTATAATCAGTGAAGCACATTTTTTGTCGCATGCAATTTGAAATTAGAAGCATTTCCTTTTAAGTGTAATAGTTGGCCTCTTAGCTGATTTAAATACTAAACCACTGCTCAAGAAACAGTATCATCAGTTTATTTCAAACTCTGAGATGATCTAATTGTACCAGCCCAAAACTGTCACAGAGGTGGCAAATCTCTGATAATAAAAGCTTTGAGTAGTTTTATGAGAGAATAGTTCTTAATGCAAAGATCTGTACTGATGCTCACTGTGTACCAGAGCTGTGAAAGCTGTCTAGTCTTGGGGCAGGGGGTGGGAAGTCTTTTGCTACGCAGCCGTTAGAGAACAAACGGGGAAAGCTTTACTGTGCCTCTGAACACTGGTGCCACGGGTTCGAGGAAAGGTGGCTCTGCCTCGCCATGTTCACTTGTCACGGATTCAGCACTTTATGTATTGCGATATAGTTTCAGCAGGTTTATGTAACTGCGTAAGAGTAGGTTGAGAACAGATAGTAGGCAAAGTATTGCTTTTCTGTATCAGTCCTAATACAGAACCCCAACTGGTGGGATACAGGGATGTTCCAGATCGTACCGTTTTGACTGCAGTGCCTTTTTGACTGTCCCTCATTGACTTTATTAAAAGTATGCCTTCTGAATTCAGAGCATTGGAATGGTGTCTAGCTCTAACGCTTACAGTGTTTGGGACACAATCCCTTCCTTTTCTTTAGAAAACTGACCATTTTCTCTCTTCTCCAGGTGCTGGAGTTCTTTGTGGCACTGAACTGTTGAGTGTGTTTTGCCGGATGCAACTATTTGAGGAGTTTGTACATCAAAACTAAGTGCAACTGACTGTTTCTACTGACTTGAAAAAAACAATCAATAGTTCAAAACCACCTCCTTCCACCGCCGAGTCAACCAATGGATGCACTTTAAGTGATCAGTGAAACACAGATGAACACTGAAAAATAATTTTTTGCTTCTAGAAAAACATCTTTTCCTTGGCCAGAGGTCTTCTAGCTTAGCAGACTTGTAAGCACATGTTGGAGAACTTTGCAAGTGTCCTTATTATGACAAGTAAGCATCCCCAAAGAATCTCAACTTTACATTAAAACACGGAATAGAGACGAGAACGTAGGAAACATGCCAACTGAGTCTCTCTTGGCATACATGGATGAACCGGATGGAATAGCCAGTGATGATGCTGCACAGGAGACTGACGATGCCTCAGTGACAATGAAAGGAACAAACACCATTTCGTACAAAACCTTGCAAGAAAAGTTTCTCATGCAAGCTGAGGGATGCATGACTCTGGACTGCATGTTTTGTGATGAGACTTTTAAACAACCTGAAGAACTTGCTAAGCATGTTTTAACTCAGCACAGGCCCACTCTTTGTGAACCAGCTGTCCTGCGAGTTGAAGCAGAGTATCTTAGTCCTCTAGACAAATGTCAAATAAGAGCAAACGTTTTACCAAACAAAGAAAAGGACAGTGAAAAACTTAGTTGTGAAGTTTGTGGACAGACATTTCACGAAGTTTTTGATGTTGAGACACACATGAAAAAGCATAAAGATTCTTTTATGTATTGGTGTAATGTATGCGGAAGAAGATTTAAAGAGCCATGGTTCCTTAAAAATCACATGAGAACACATAACGGAAAGCCTGGCTCTAAAAACAAGCACCAACAAGGTTCTGAAACCCCCATAACGATAAATGGAGTCGTGCAGGAGCATGCAAGTGAAAACCTAACGTCACCTTATAAAATGTGTATGGTTTGTGGTTTCCTATTTCTCAACAAAGACACTCTAATTGAGCACAGTAAAGTGCACACCAAAGAATTAGTACCCTATACTGAAAGCCTCCAAGCGACTGGTAAACCTGATACAAAAGATAAGTCTCAAAAAGGGGATTTTTTCCAATCATTTAACTTACGACCAAACGTTCCAGAAAATGACGAACAACAAAACCCTGTGAAATGGATACCTCAGCTAGATCCTTTTACCACATACCAAGCGTGGCAGCTGGCCACCAAAGGTAAAATCGCAGTTGCGCGTGGCCATGTGAAAGAATTGAGACGTGAAGCACATGTGGACTGTGATGATTCATGTTCTGATAAAGAAGAACTCGGTGAAATTAGGAAGGGAAAGAAGGGTAGCCATATTCCAACTACGGGGAAGTCAAGGGTAAATAAAAACGGCGGTCATACAGGGAATGGCAACGTATCGCAAGAGAAATTGAAACATCCCGCTGGTGAAGTGCCTTCAATGGAGACGGATTCGAAATTGGCCCAGAATAAGGACAAGCCTACCCACTGTTCTGCATGTGGAAAAGCCTTCAGAACATACCACCAGCTAGTCCTTCATTCCAGAGTCCATAAGAGAGACAGGCGGGCTGATGGTGATGTTTCCAGGATGTGCTGTGATGATATAATTGTAAATCTGGATGAAAACGGAGCAAGCGAACGGATGGAAGTAGGCTCTGAGGATGGATCTGAAGACGGGCTTCCAGAAACACTTAATTTAGGTGAGTAGCGTTTTGAGCGCAGAAATCTGAAATAGCTGTTACTGTATTGTTTAAGAACTCTTTAGAGTCGAAGAATGCATCTTGTCTTTCTCAGTTATCTCTTCGAAACTTGGCCAGAGATAGGAAATGTTATAGTGGGGGGGAAAGGGAAAAGAGAAAAATGAGAGGGAAAGGTTCTGACATGGCTGTTTTGAGATCTTTGAAGTTGTGTTGGGCATTCTTGCAGCTATGATTTGGGTTACTGGAATTGTTGACATAATTTTAATAACAAATAATCTAGGAAAACTCACTCACTGTTTATTTAGCACCCCCTCCCTTTCTCCCCTCCCCTCCATCAATAGTAAGATTCTTAGTTTTACTGGATGCTTTTGGGTGTTGCATATCCCTTTTTGTCCAGCATGTGTTTTTAGAAATAGTATTTCTGAAGAAATCATTGCTGTTTCACTATTCTTCCTGCACCTTGTAAGAAAGGGCAGAAATTGTCCGGCGCTCAATACCAGCAGTCGATAAGACCTTGAGAAGAGCAATTCCAAACTTTTTCAATCAAACAGCAGGTTACAGGTTGTAACTGAAAAGCCAAAGTGTCAGACCAGCGATTTTATGTGGGTTGCATAAGGGCGTGCGTGCAGGCAGGCTGTTAATACCATGTATGTGAGACATCATGTGTGTGAGAAGGACACACTTAAGCCCTCTTCCTTGAAGGGTTGCTAACAGTTCTCTTTGACAGAGTAGATGTGCTCAATCTGTGTCACCCAGGATTAATTCTGCATCTTGCCATGTCTTAGAAACACAAGTGATTGTGAATGATTCCTTAATTGAAAAAGATTGCGTGTCTGGGGACAAAAAGGAATAGCAGAAAGTCTTCTAGCTGATCTAGCGCTCTTGTGTGTGACATGCTTTGAGGCTGCATTTAAAGAACAGACACTTGCATAATCTCAAGCAAAGACGCAACGTACAGAATGTCCTGGCACACACCACTGACTTTTTCCATTTCTGGTAACGTACAGCCCTTTATTTTGCCTCCAGTAACAAAGGAATGGAATTATTACCTAATGTTAACTTGCTTGTTTTGTTTCTCGGTGCCTTATCCTAAAGTACAGCAGCTTTCATTGTGAGATGCTGAGTCATGCTTATTGAGACATGACCTGTTGGTTTAAAACAGCTACGCTGTCTCTTAGCCGTAGCTTGGCCATACTTCGCATTCCCAGCGTAGCAGCTTTCCAACACCTCGGAACTTCAGAGGACTCCATCAGGCTGTTACGTATCTAACTTCTTTGTCCGTTCAAACAGCTCCTAACGTTTGGTCCCGCAGCAGCTTTCTCTAGCCAGCTTTGAGCTGGATGTTTTACTGAGGTTGTCTTGAAGTGTGTTGGGTGCAACCTGCCGCAGAAGTCGCGTTGGTTCAAAGTGTGTGTTCGGCGTTCGCCCCTTTCCTGTTAGTCATTAGGCTGTACTTGCCGCCCTCCAGTGGTAACTGCTGCTGCTTGCGCCTGAGCGGAACCCGGGTTTAGTCTGTGAATCTGTTCCTTGAAAACCTGTCTCGCGGAATAGCAACCCCATCACTTTCCTACTCCCCTGCCTGTCAGAGCGTAAGTGCTGGTGTTTCTAGTGAAAGTTTACTCCTTAAATCTAAGGCTGTTCTTACACAGGCATGACATTCCATCCATTAGCACAGAAATAACATTATTATTACAATTAATAAGAAAATCCATCTTTCTCCTCGCCTTCCTTCCCCAGAACACCTTCCAGTGCTTTGGCACGGTGTGCAGAGCAGGTTTACAGTCTGAATCATCATGCTCACGCTTACTAATTTGAGCAATCCCTTTAAATAAAAGAATACAGTGAGTTTTTGAGATGGGCCATTCTTCATCAGCTTCCCGTATGTCAGAAAAGACAACTTCTTTTTTCTTCTTTAAGACCGAGTTTTGCATCTTGTTTGTTCTCCGGGGCTTCTGCGTTGCAGCAACTAACCACAGTGTTACTTGGCACAGACAGGAACCTCTTTAACTCTTCTGCTCTTTGATTGCTGAGTGTGCAGCGGTACAGAGGAAAAGATGCTTGTAGACTGTAGGAGTTGACAGCAGGTCATCATTCTGTGCTTTCCCTTAATAACAGTTAAGATAGTTACTTGAAGTTTTAAGGGAGGCTCCGAATTTGCTTTTGATCTTCATAATATAGCTGTATTTTTCTCCCATAGAAAAAAATGGAGACGTTTTGGAAAAAGCTAAAGTTAAAAACCTCGGCGCCTCCAGGGAGTGCAGCTATTGTGGAAAGTATTTTCGCTCAAATTATTACCTCAATATTCATCTCAGAACTCATACAGGTAAATGGACTTCACCTTTGGCGGAGGGGGAAGGAAGTCGGCTGAATCCAGTTGGATGGAATGTTTGGTTTTGCTTAAGAAAAACAGAAGTTGCCTTCAAAATTATTGACAACTTACTAAGAACAAAGTTTTCTCTAATGAAAAAAAGAATTACAAATGAGATTTCTGAGGAGGAATAGTTATTTGCATGAGTATAAATCTGGGCTAATTACATTAAGTGCTGTTAAGAATACAATATATTTAAAAATTTTTAATTCTGGTTTTTTGCAGTCTAGCTAAAAGTTGTGGTTTGGTGGTGTTTGGTTGGTTGTGTTTGTGGGGTTTTTTTTTGTTTGTTTGTTTTGTTTTTTGTTTTTTTAAAGCCTATTTTCCAAGTACTAAGTTGATTGTCTGCCAGTTGCTGTTACCTGGGAAAAAGCTGGGTCTGTTTGTCAGATCAACTTTGTTTGCCATAGCCAGGCAAACTCTTCTGTTAATGTATGTCCTTGTTTCTTTTGAAACAGCTCTATTTATAGATGAACTGTAACATCTGTGTTGTTGAATAGCACACTTGGGGTACGATCAAGGGCTACAAATTGTTGGAGTTGACCCACAGCTATACTTCTTGCTTATCTCTGCCAAACATACTGTCAGCTACCATCTCAGTACATAGCCAACGTGTGGAAAATATCTTCATCGTAGCCAGGAGATGTCACTGTAGTTAGTAAAAGCAGCAAGATGTCGATGTTTAAATGATTTAGATGAGTTTGAGAATTATGAGTATGTGGAAGGGGAAAGAAAAGCCTATTTTACTGTTTTGTGGTCTGCATTATTCCCTTATCTTTAATTGCGTTCAAGACTTCACATCAAATTGTGTCAAACTTACTGACTGATAAAACTGTGTTTCAGGTGAAAAACCATACAAATGTGAATTCTGTGAGTATGCAGCTGCACAGAAAACTTCACTGAGGTATCATCTAGAGAGACATCATAAGGACAAGCAAGCTGATAGTACAGCAGACATGAAAGCTGACAGCAAAGTTTCATCACAGAGCCAGGAGGTATTGCTTGCTGCTGCTGGTGGCCAAGAAACCAAAAATTTAAAGAGGCCTTTTGATGGTGCCAAAGATGCTGAGGCCGCCCCACCTGCCAAGCTTCAGAAGGAAGTTCTGGTCTTGAACAATGCGGTGGGCAACACGCCTCTCTTAAGAATCAAAATTAATTCTAGGGAATTGAACAAAGGTTCCATTTGTAACAATTTAAATAGAAGACATGAGAATGTGTCCACTCCTTACCAGGAAAACCTAAAGGCTGACAAGGAATCAAAGGAACCTCAGCACAGTGTTCTTTGTATAAGGGAGAGGAAGGCCTCGGTGACATCAGAGGAAGACGATGTCCAATATGTTTGCGCTATAAAGCATGGAAAAAATGTGAATGATGTGCAAGGGAGCACTGAAAAGCATAAACCTGAAGCGGACTCTCAGGAAAAGCCTTTGGATTTATCTGTTGGATCTTCACGAGACCGTTCAGTGGTTTCAAGAAAAGACCTACCAGTACCTAGCACCTGCCTGTTTTGTACTTACAGAACACTTTACCCAGAAGTCCTTATGATGCACCAGAGGCTCGTGCACAAATACAATCCTGACACCATTAACAAAAATGGCTGTAGAAGCAAGGCTCCAGCTAAAGCCAGGCGGACTGGATGCCCTCCAGCTCTGAACGGGAAAGATGTGCTTCCTCTGACTTTCAATTCTAATAAGAATAAGGCTTTTCCATCTATACAGCAAAAAGTACTGCAAACAGGGAAACCTAAACAGTGTCACCCCCCACAGAACAAAGTCCCACTCTTCACAGTGATTGACTCCAGCAGCACTGTCCCAAGTAACCTCAAGTCTCATAATCAGCAAAGTAATATGGGAGCTCAGGCAAGTAACTATAGACAACCTCAGCAAGAAATGCACTCTGCTTCCAGTATCTCCTCAGTGTTGGACAGAGCAAAAAGATCTGAATCAAAAGTAAAGGCTCTGAGTGTGTCAGCAGTGTCTCAACCTGGTCTAGTCAGCAGCAGCACGAATGGGGCGCTCAACTCCCATCCAAGTGAATCTACGTGGGCTTCTCCTCAGGGAAGAGATCCGAGATGTATGAGCAACGTCAATCCAGATTACGGCGAAACACCTTCTAAACGCATGAAACCCAGTCCGTTAACTGTCGAACACGTTGACTCTCCAGTGGCTAATTACAAAAGATACGAAACAAGCAGATTTCACGTTGCAAACAGATACACAAATCTGCTACCTCAGGAATGTTCTCTCACCAAACCTGCTTCCTCGGCTTTGCCAACCAGACAAGGGCTTCTGAATTCCAATGATGTCGATCCTCATGCATTGACTGTTCTCAAACCTTACGAGCCATATAGCTCTGCATCACTTCACAGTTCTCGTGGATCTGCCAATGACCAAGTAGCCAGCTCTGCAGTAGAAGGTACTGTATCTCCTTCCCAGTTAAATGTCATTCTGCCTTACAGAGGAAGGTGAATGAAATGCAAATAAGTGTATACCTACCCTGAAACAGAGCATGAAGCTGTACTTAGTATTTCACCAAGTCCAGTCACTGTTTGGGTTTTAAACTTAAAATCCAGGCTCAGCAAACTCCTGGCTTGGGGAATTAGGCATGGAAGGTCTGAATTTTAAACAGGGATTTAAAGTTCCTCAAGTTGCCTGCTTCCCCCCTGCCATGGTTGTCTGATAGCAAACATGTATTGTTTGCTCATCAGAGCACTCCAGACATACTAACTAATCCAGGCTATGGAATGAGCCTTTCTGCTTAATACACAAGAAGTCCTGGACCATCTGGAATATTAATAAAACTGCTTTGAGGGGGGAAAAAAAAAGGTCACCGACAATTGTTCCCTTCAGTTGCAGAAAAGGACAAATCATAAAACTGATTTAAATCTTATACCTCTGTTCTTCAATGGGATTTTGTAATATTCAGTTTTTAGTAGAAACAGAATACTTTGTTAAATCAAAACAATATTTCTGCTATTCTAATTATGTGTCTCCTTGCACTGAGTTGTAATGCTTTGTGGAAGATTCTGGGCCTAGCAGATAAAAATTTTGTGATGTATTTGGAAAAGCTTGGTACTTTCATGAAGTAGATGCTTTTAGTGTTTAGCTCTTAGTATTTTCAGAACTTAGGAGGTTGGGGTGAAAAGATGTTGGGTGGTATTTAATCAGTTGTCTCACTCATAGAAGATTACATTTATGCCTTTGAGCTGAGGTCAGTATGGACTTGGCTGTAAATACAGGACTTTGAATTTTGAAAGGAAGATGCTGTTACAAAAATGAACAGTATGTGTGTGCTATGTAGTCTTACAGTTCTGCTAAGTTCTGAAACTATGTGAATACTCCCATTCTCTGGAAGCAGTAGGATTATTTTTCTGAAGTAGCTTGGGTTCGTAACAAGCAGGGATGTGTTACCTTAGGTCAAAGTGAACTGCAAAATACTAAATCTGCATGTACTTAACGTGGCAAAAAATGTTTTTGCGAACTCTGTTTTGGTTTTTGTTTGCTTCTTTTGAGGTTGTGGGCTTCATAAATATTCAGGCTTGCTAGTGGGTTATGGAAGGATGAAGGAAAGTGTTACAGTTCTGTGTCCAGTCCGGATAGGGAGAGGACAAAGGAAAAGCCAGCATCACAGTTGACTCAGTGAAGTGGTTGTGAAATGGAGTTAGTTCCTAGTTTCATGAAGAGCGCTGCCTGTGGACCACGAATTGCTGTGAGGAATGTAAAATGGGCACTAGGTTATGCACAGAATGCAGAGGGACAGGCAGAAGGACAAATGTTGTTGCTGCCTTTTGATTCCTAGTGATCTGAGAGAATGAAATACACATGCAGGATTTTTCTGAGCGCACAAGTCACGAAGTTGTGGGATTTACAGTGCTTTGCAAGGTGCTTTTTTTTTTTTTAATGAATGGTTGATAGCAGCTGAGAGCTTAATGTGCCATCTCCACATTCGTTAGAGGCCATGACTGTCCTGAAAGGGGTAAATGATGCTAATTTACCCTAATGTGACATTGCTATTGAGCAAGCAGAACATTCAGGGCTTTGAGGGAATGCTCGATGGTTGTATAAAACCCTATTAATTCTCATGAGAACAGGAAGGGGGAAGTTAAAAAGTCTTGCAGGTTCCACCAGGTAGAGAAGAGTGGCGGGTGCCCCAGGGACCAGGTGCTGGGCAGTGTCTTGCTCCTTTCCAGCATTACTGGATGCTGGGGACAGGGCAGTTCTCTTATTTGGCCAGTACTCTTGGTGAGGTTGGCCTGTTGCAGTAGCAGTTGACTCAATACTGTTTGTAAACAACGGGATCCACCTTGTTCTTCTTTTGAAAGTTCCACCTGTCTGCCAGAAAAATCTGCGATAGGCTTTTTCTTCCTCTTCTTAGGTCCAAGCCTGGAGACAGTAGCATCTAGTCAAGGGCTTTTGTGTTTGTACAGGTGTTTTTTGTTATTTAGAGCTCTCAAAACTATGGCTGCCGCTAATTGGGCAATATTGTTGTCATGGAAATAAAGATTTCACTGTTTTCTGTTACACAGTGCTGTCTCAGGGCAAGAAAAGCAACTTTTTATGGATGTTAACCTATATTGGAAAGACTTGTGAAACAAGACCCCCTCTGTGGGTTTTCTTAACTTCAATAAGAGCCCCGTGCAATAAAATGTAGGCTTTTAAGGCTAATTTCCTAGTTTTCCAAACATTCTGCTCAGAAGTACCCAACACAGACCTTGATGGTAGTTTGGGAGGGTGACAGGAGCAGACAGGCCAACTTCTTACTGTTGGTGTGGGTGGAGACAGTGAAGATGAAAGTGGCTGCAAATGCTTTTCGTTAAAAAACTAAGTTAAGTACAACTGTGGATCTGAGAGCTGCAACTCCTCAGAGCTGTGTTTGGTAAGGTACCGGATGCAAAGTGCTGCAGGTGTAGACCTGCAGGTTTCTGTAGACTTTTTTTTTCCCCTGAACTGTGGTGATATTACACAACACGATGTCAAAACCTTTTTTAAGGGCCTGTGTGCCTTGTGGCAACATTATTTAGGTTCTGTGAACATGTTATGTCGCATGTTAAATGCAGGATCAGGTTGTCATGAGAATATGTTCCACTTGGCAAACTTGATTAAAGCGTGATGCCTCCCGTTACTGCTTGTAAGCTCTGCCATTCCCTGCTGCCCTGAAGAGACAGAAACGTTCTGAAACCACTCAGTTTGTGTTATTTTCAAATTAGTTGCCTTTGCAATGGCAACATGCTATCAAGGATAACCTGTTGGCTGATTGATCTGGCAGAGGCTGCAAATTAAAGACAATTGCTCATGACACACTCCAATGGCTTTGTAGATTCTGTTGAAATATTAATTTAGCTTTGCCATTTTAATTTAATTAAAGCTTGCCAGGTTTTTTCAATGCTGCATTTAAAGCTTTCATGGAATATGGATGGCAGTGGGCTTTTTGGATCCTGTGGGAGTAATGATTCTTGACTTTTTTCCTTAATTTTATGAAGTGTTTTTGACTGCTCGCTTAAGCTAATAAGACTTAATATGGAACAGGCATTGATTTCACCTATATAAATCTGGATTAGTGGTCTCAGATAAACATGAAATTACCTGTGTACTAGACTGAAAATTGCTTAAACAGGTCTTCAAGTAAATGTATGTTAACACTCTTTGAAGTGTCACAATTGCCATATAATCTACAATAGCCATAATGCAGTGTACCCGTTTCCCCTCTCAAATACCTGTATTCAGACAATTTTCAAACGCACAGAAGCTGGATCTGCAGGCATCGTGCCATCGAACGTCCTGCAGCACTTAAACCTTAAAAGGATGCTGTGGGATGAGTTAAGCAAAGGTATTTCTTTCCTGCAAATACAGTGAGGGAGAATCTGGAGAGATGGGTATCACGTGTATACAGCGTGGAACCAAGTTGCTAATATTTGTCATTCCTCTTGTGTTTGTTCTGGAGATTTCATATCATTCATTCATTTCTGAATTTCATAGAGTCTTGTGGTAGGACTAGGGATATCTTGTCTTGGTATGAATGCCTGAGCAATTCCATTAGCAGGCACTAATTCTAACTCCTCTGAATTCCTTTTTGTCAGGAAGTAGAACCGTGCCCTACCAACACCTGCGTAGCGGCGCGCTACAGAAGCGAACCTACGAAAGTTTGGAAAGTTTCATCAGGAGCGCGGGCTTGCCGCCCGGCGACCAGAAGAATTAACCCTGTCCTGCAGGAAAGGGTAAACGAGCCTTTTGTACTACTTGTTACTTAAACGTTGAGTTATGTACTCATTGCTGCCTGGGGTGACGAGGGGTTGTGCAAGTCTGAACCAGGACAGCTGGAAACACCAACTCCCCCTCTTACCAAGTGAACAAATGCAGGTGTAGCAGCAACCCTGATTTTGAATAGTGCTGATGGCTTGCATAACAAGCACGTAGATGCTCCTTTTCTGAAAGAAATGGAAGGGCTGACAATAGATAAATATGTTAATTGGTTACAAGACCAGTGGGAAGCCCTTAAGTCAGTACATGGGGGTGGGGGAACACTGTGTGGAGAACTAGAAATGAGAGGAAGTGGCTGTTATCAGAGTTCATGAATCTGATGAGGTGTTACATTTAGTCCTTCCTGAAAATGTAGACATTACTCATTTTACAACTCCTGAAGGTTGTGAGGATTGCCTCAAACGACAAGACTCCCTTTGGTGGATTATTTCATAGGGAAGTAAGGGTTTCCTGATAGCTCCTTGACAGTTTATCTTTGTGTACTGGAGGGGTTGTTCCCAATAGTTTTTCCTTTGTTTGACTGAAGGGTGGGTGTAGCCTCTTAGGGAAACAGGTCAAGTGAAAAGAATTAGCCTGGGGTTCGGAATTCCCGTGCTTCATCTCTTCAGTTCTGTAGCTGTATCTCAGAATTTAACCCCCCCCCCCATTGTGTTTGCAGCATTCTTAGCTGCTAAGGAGATAAGTACTCTAGAAGACTATAAATATGTTTTTCAAACCCAGAGCCACAGATAATTTTCCTCATTCAAATTTGAGGAGATATGTCTTGAATGCTGTAGCACCTGGACCAGCACGCACTATTTTACACAAAAATTTTTCCATATCTGGGGAGCAGCTAGCTGACATCTAGTTGACAGCTTTTAAAATGCTTTATTTCTTGATATTCTTATCTTACTGCTTTTATTATCCCCCCACTAAGCATATTTTGGTCTAGTTCTGCTTTTTTAAAGCTAACTCAATTTCCTGCCTGTATTTCTACTTGGGGCTTGAGTATCTTCAGAAGTAGACTTGATTGCTAGCCTTTAATTGGCAAATAGAAGGCACAGACCTTATATGGCAATATCAGTTTCTAAATACACTTAGGCAAGGGTGTGGAAGAAATTCTCTTTATGTTTTAAAGCTAGTCCTTGGGGGGGGGGGGGGAAAAGTGTTGTACTCTTTTTTATAGTTGCTTACCACTTTTTTTTTCTGCTTTTCTCCCTAGGTCTAAGACACAAGTGCATGTTCTATGGAGCTACACTTTGCAATTCTTCCCTTAAGAAAAAATGAATAGTGAAAGCTACTGAATTAAGCTGTGATTGTACTTTGTATAGAAACACTACAGTTTTATAATACTGGTTCTGTTAACATTTTGTGCCAAATAGCCATAAAAAATAGATTTAGCAGTTGGTTTATGAAGTTGTGTGAAGAATGTATATCTTGTTGACTTTTGAGTATTTTTCATTAGAATTAATTGACCAAATATTAGGTAGGAATTATATTTTTACATACTTGAGCGCTGCTGAAGAGTTTCTTTTTGAAAGAATATATAATAATTGCACCTCAGGTAAACTGTAAATAGTTGAACTCCTGTTGGCTTAATGTTCCTTTTTTCTTTAAGGTGAAAGTTTCTCATCTGTTTTTTTCTGTTGAACTATGTTAGTTTCTGAAACAACTTCCAAATATTCTGTCTGAAGCTGTCTGGTTAATCCATGTTGTGAACATCGGAGCAACGGTGCTGACATTATGCTCATCTGCCTTGTATACGTTAGGACCATAATTTGTTGGAGGGATCTGTTTCCCCGCGGCTGTTGCCAGCGTATTTTTAAATGCAAGGATGAGGCAATACTTGACATTTGGATTTCACTATGGCGTTCCTGAAATACGGTTGGATTCTTTGCTTGGCGTTGGTTGCTGTTCTTCAGAGGAGCCTCTTAAACATCTCTACCAACGTACAAGATTTTACAGCAGAAAATACCTAGGACTTGCAGGAGAACTGATGCTAATTGAAATGTTTCAGATGTTTAGTTTTGTACTAAACTCAGTACAGTTCCATTTAGAGGAAAACTACTTTGCACCTTTTGTCCAGACTGTAAAGTCACCAACAGACTTGCAATATGAATACGGGATCTACAGACTTCAAAAGGGATGTGGCTATGGTGTAGCCTGCTTGACTGTGCTTGGAAGGTTCTTGATGTCGAGTTTTTAGCATCTACTGGGTGTTTGAAATATGAGAAATAAACTGTTAATGGGAGAATATATTTTATTTTTTTGTGAAGACGACAAGAGTTTTTTCTAATGCACACGCAGTTTAATTTTTTTAAAGGGAAGATGGCCAGTTACCAGCCATTGAAGCAGAATTACTGCCTATTTTGGCTTGTGTTCCTAGTTGCTTCTCATAAAGCCTGTAGTTAAGAGTTAATTCCTTTTTTACCAGACTTCCATATATTTTAGTAAAACAAAAAATAATGAAAAATTTTGCACTGTCCATTTTGCTCTCCTTCCTCATGCAGCAAATGTAAAATAGCAAAACCTGGAAACTCTCTTGTTTTTTCATTATGCAACTTGAGATGTTCCAGTTGTATGTCTTAGTTCCTGTATATGGGACCTATTTTTAATGTCTCTGTAAACTGGCGATGTAATGAAGTGCTGTGTATCAGGAAATTGTACACTATTTACCTTTTTTCCTGTTCATAAGCTGAGCCATATGTACATAATCTAGATATTTGTTTTCCTAGTTTTGCACTTTTATAGCCTATTTTTTGAAGATGAATCCACTTGGAAAATTGTTAATCTATTTTTTTGCGTGACCTTTCAATGAGTCTTACAGAGTGCATGTTGTAACGATCATCCGTGTACCTTACGAGGTTCTGTGAAACTCTACAGGACTGGTTTTTAACATATTTTACCAAACAGACCTAAGACTTGTTTTTAATCTTCATGCTGATACAGTTTTCCCCCAAGGCTTTTTTTTTGGTAGGTGTCTTGGGGTTGGAATGGAAAAATGGCCGTTTGGACTCTTTGATGGCAGCACAGCCCTGTCCTTCAGAATACACTTTGCCCATCAGTATTAACTATTGGGATACTACTGTTTTTTTATGTTTCTTTGGAAATAACAGTACATATATAGAGGTACAAATTGTTGATTTTTTGTTTATGTATTTATTTCATTCCATTTTGTTTAATTTTAATTGTTGAAACCAGAAGTCTTCAAGCAGTAGACACACATTAATTTAATTTATGATGTATTTCACTTTAGTTGAGTATGTTATTACATGTGGATGTAAATATAGACGTGGTGTTTTGCAGAGCTGGTTTCTGTGTCTTGCTTTTAAAGCTTAAAATGAGTTGCTTGGAATTTCATATTCTCTCGACCTTTTTGTCTCACCCTCACTGTGGGGGGAGAGGGGAGGGAGAACCTGCCAATAGCCAAAACGCAAATTCATGCCCTGTTCAGTTGCTTATATGAAATACTGAGTCACTTCCCAGAAAATCCATCTGTGAGGCTTAGGAGGAAGATGCTGAAATGGTGAAGAAACCTCTTCTTTCAGCTATTCTCCTTCCAGAAAGGAAAGCGAGTTACCGTATGCAGACTCTGCTAATAAGAAATTACGAGGAGAGTGTGGCGACTCTCATTTGGTGAGGCTTCAGGATTTGTGTGGCTTTAGACTTTTCTGAAGAATTCCTAGGTCTGATGTCTTCTTGGAACTCTGCTGAGGTGTCGGACCTCTCCAACACCTCTGACTGTATCTCGGAGCTAGATGGGGAACGGGGATGACAGCTGGAAAAGACTTGTCCAAGGAAACTCATCCTTGGGACAAGGGAGCCCACGGGATGAGATCCCAGTATGCATCAGCGGCATTCAAGGGCTTTCCTGTGCATGACCACGGCCTCCCTGACCTCCCAGGTTAAGCCAGGTGTTAGGCTGGCACGTGTTGCCACCAGGAGTTCCGTGGAAGTTGGTCAGGCCGGTTTCTTGGCTGAAGGGAAGCTGTTCTCAACAGCGCCGCTTCTGAAGGGTGAGCTTGGGGGCAAGGCGCCGCGCGGCCGTCGGGCAGCGCGTTCCTGCGGTGCGCGGATGAGGGGTCGTGAAGCCGTTCAGCTGGGCTGAGGGCGTCGGGGTACCGCGGTTCCTGTGCAGCGCCGAGTGGCAGCCTGGCAGGGCACAAGGAGCGTGAGCTTTGCCGTCCTCTGCCGTTATCCGTGGTTTGGTGCCACCTGGGAGTGCCAAGGGTCCTTCTCCTCGCCATCAGTAGTTTCAGGTAAGCTGGGCTGATCTGGAGACACAGATGTGTATTCCAGTGGCTGCAGGTATTGATGCCTATGTTGCCTACACGCTGGGGATGCCCCATCCCTGGAAATGTCCAAGGCCAGGCTGGATGAGCCTTGGAGCAACCTGGTCTGGTGGAAGGTGTCCCTGCCCATGGCAGGGGGGTTGGAACTGGGTGGTCTTTAAGGTCCCTTCCAACTCAAACCATTCTGTGATTATAAACACTTGTTTGAGGGATCTTTTTCCCGTGCTTCTAATGAATTACCAGTTAAGACACAGACTGCTCTATGTTTCGAAATTACCAAGAAGCAACACTCATTTTCTCTTATGAGGAAGATCTAACATTAAATCACAGAACCGTTTCTTCTTCCCCTTTGTGAAAGAGGGAAATAGGCAAGTGCGTTACTGAGCAGATTTCTCTGTTCATTTGCACACACTTAAGAAAAGTGCATTTAATTAGGATTAGCAAGTCTCTAAATTGCAGATGGTTCTCAGGGGAAAAAATAGTTATGAGTGCATTCATGACATTAAAATCAGTACATTTAATTCAATTTAATCTTAATATTAATTCATAACATCTAAAGTAGTAGTTCCTACAGAAGATACTCATGACTTTGGATTGCTGGGGAAAATGTGACTTAGCACTTCCATACATGCTACAGCATGATTACTGTGTGTAATTAGCTTAACTA